TACGTCACCAGTGGCAACGAAAGTCAGATCTGTATTGACAGTCACGTGACAAGACTTTGCGCCCCGATCTACCGAATGCGCTAAGGCGCTGGACGTTGGTGTTGTGGATGAGCTGTGATGTTGATGCGAATTTTTTGGTTGTGCGCAGGTGAGCATGGGTTACAAAATACGAAGAGAAATTGACGATCCTTAAAACAATCTCGGGTGGTCGCGGAGCAGTATGGATGCTCCTAGGAAAGGATGCAGGCCTGAAATCACCTGGAGAGGGGATAGTGTAGCGGCACCCCTGAGGCGCGTGCCAGGGCCCAGGACCCATGGAAAACGACAACGCGCGTGCAAAATGCAAGAATGGTACAATTCGATCCGTTCTAGACGCGATGGGCTTCATAAATTAAACCCGTAACAATATTTTAAACAAACCAAAATTATAACAAGCAAATCTAAAAGGAATGATATTCCCAACATGCTTTCATATTATTTTTTTCTTCTGTTTACATTGAGTTTTGTAAATGCCCTCTTTAGCGTCATTGATGTGCAATTAATAGCATTTTGAAATACGCAAATTAATGTATAAATAATTAAACTTCTCAACCTCTCAAAAATTAAGTTTTGTTTGCGGCTCTTGAGCACTGTCACCTTGACCACAGTGATTCTGCGGCTGGAGATTGAGCTGGAAAATCTAAAAACGTCGAACTAAACGTGAGTGGTCGATGTTGCCAGCACGTCTTGTATGACGTTTACGACATTTAGGTGTGAACGCGACGTCGCTGAAACGTCACTGACGGGGCAATAATGTAACGTCACCCTGGACTTTATTTTAACTTTGAAGACACGTGAGTGTTCGACGTTGCTAAAACGTTTTGTCTTGACGTCGTGGCGACGATGACGACGTTAAAGTTGAAACGTGACGTCGACAGCAAGTCACGGACAGGACAATAATGGGACGTCATTTATGAATTTCAGTTCAACGTCAAAGAAACGTGAGCGTTGGACGTTGTGAGAACGTCGTGCATCGACGTCGTGGGAACGTTGACAACGTTCGAGTTGAAATACAACGTCGTCACAACGTCACTGATTGGACTCTAATGGAACGTTATATAAGGACGTCACCTCAACGTCGAAAAAACGTGATTGAAGTCATGCGGGACGTCACGGACGTCCGGGACTTTTTCTCGACGTCTCCACGACGCACGAGGACACAGCGCACCCCGTAACAAACACTAGGACAACGTTCACAGTCACACCAAAAGAAAGGGACACTTACACAGCGCTGACTGCAAACTTTGCAGTCAGCGCTGTGTAAGTGTCCCTTTCTTTTGGTGTGACTGTGAACGTTGTCCTAGTGTTTGTTACGGGGTGCGCTGTGTCCTCGTGCGTCATGAACTACCAACTCGCCCGAACTTCTGTTTTAACAAGTCTCCACGACGTTTTGTGCTGCCTGGGTAGTATCTCAATTCGACAGCAGGGTAGCAAAAATATATATAAAAATAACGTCAACAGAGATGCATTGTACGAAAGACGTACGTATAAAGAGCTTTGGGAGGTGCGTATGAGATTGCGTGGCTTTAAAATTTATTTTATCTTCCAATTACTGAAAACAACGCATCTTTCACAGCACTCTTACACCTGTGTTTGATAGCGCAGCACCCAACTTTCGAGATAGCGTACTATAGTGTTCAAATGTATGATTTAGAGTACAAGGGATAAACGTTATTCCGTAAACTATTCAGCCTTAATTAGAGGTTTTCTATCGCGTTGTGTTCCCACCTTGCTCTCCTATTACATCATACAATCTTAAATGTATAATTAGACAAATCCTGCATTATACGACAACGAAAGTGTTTGCCTTTGATCTCGACACGATATAACAGGCGTGTTTGACGACATTAATATTATAAAGAAAGGTAAAACAAATGCATCATACATATCGTATCTTTTTGGTCTTAATTATTTGAGCAATCAGGATTTAAAAAAAAATCATTTGTCAGATACCAGCTAGGTTCTCGCCGTAGATACGAAATCAAAATGTTTGGATAGGAACGAATGCGCAGCACGCATTTGCCGTAATTCAAAAGTCCGACGCCACCTAAAAAAAAAAAAAAAAAAGAAAGCATGTCGGGACAGAATCGAGTTCCCTGTCCGATACAACAACCTGATAACGCGCGAGTTCTCAAGTGCGTTACTTGGCCTTGCGTCGGTCAAGTGCATTCCGCATTGTGTTGAGTGTGTGCCCGATAGCTGAACCGCTTAAATCGCAGGATGTCAAATATGTACCCGTACTTCACCCCTTACCACGAATGTTTACCGCGCTCGTGGCAGAGCTCAATAAACGCTCCGGGTCGAGTCACGTCTGGGCTCGTGGAGGACCGCTTAGTCGTAATGCACCTTTAGTCGTTCCCACGCAGCCCGCCGTGCCGCGATGCCCGCCGAGGAGCGCGGTTAGTCACGACGCGACGGTCAGTCGCCCTGCACACTTAGTCATGCCGCATCAGTGCGACATAATGCGATTATCCGTCGTATTCTCAACATAGTCGCGATTCACTTATATGCCATGTTACGCACTTACCCGTACTGCGATTATTCGTCTTAGTGACATTGAACTGATCCTACCGGTTCCTTCAATCAGGCGACGTCGTAGCTTCGGAAGGAGTCCCGCCGATAATCCGCGGTTGTCAACAGACGAAAAATCCGAGCTGAAGGTCTGTAAAGCTTTGGTCGGGGCTAGTTGGTACATAATCGATTAAAAAGTTAATTGGTTCGAACTGAGAAAGGAAGGAAGACAGACGTGCGAAAATGACAAGAGCCTGTTCTTGACGTACGTGTGTCTTTTTTCGTCTTGTTTCAGTTCTCACCTTTAAACCTTTCATTTCAAAGTCTCTGTCCCAGGAAAGGTCGGACTTGACGAAATTACGCACCCAGCTTTTTCTTTCTCTTTCGGCGAAAACGATCTTGCATATCGATTGCAACTGAGGTCTGCCTCCAGCAGTCGGTGCCGCCGCTCGGTTTCTTCGCACGGTAGCCCGCTGTCGCGGTCCCAGCTCATCCTTCGTTGCTTAGGCGGCACTCGGGGACCATAATGGGCAGGTCGGTTTCTCGTGTCGATCTACCCTTGCCCACGGCCATACGTAACGGCGGACACAGGAGCCGAAGCTCCTTCTCGTTGTAGTGCAGGATCTGGTCGTTACCGTGGCCGGGCTGTGAAAGGCCCTTTGACCCAATTAATTTTAGTGCAGATATCTTCACCACCCGCTGAAAACAGTGCAAGAAAACAATAATGGGGCCGGAAAGTTCGTTTCATCTAATCATCGCAAGCACCTATGGGTTAGTTTGACCCACATCCGTGGACACTAGCCCAAGGCTGCATTTTATTGCCTTTGTTTATACATTTCTTGCGCTCGTGTAAAAATACGAGTGTATCTTGAAAGCAACTAAGTTACTCTGGAAATGTAACGGTAACTGTAAAGCTTTATTTTTGTTTTAAGTAACTCTAACTGCAACTAATCGCTTTTCAAAAGAAACTTACCCAAGACTGGTCATATAAAAAAAAATTAATGTTTGCTGGAAATGCTCTGGTCGTCTTGAAACTGCCTCGCAAGAGAAAGCGGTGGTCTGAAGAGGACATTGCTGAAGAGCAGAGGCGGCCCCCTGAGGCTCCGAGTGTTCACCGCGCCAACGAGACGCCAGAAAAGAGAAAAGCATTTGGCTGGAAACCCCGAGACTGAGACGAGAAGGGACGGACACACGCAAAGTCTCAAACACAGCTGTGTTTGAGACTTTGTGTTTTTTCGTTCCTTCTCGCCCAGTCTCGGGGATTTTAGTCAAATGTCTAACCACCACCAGACGGTTTACAGGGGGGTATATATATATATACCCCCCGGTAAACCGTCCCCTCCAGACCGTCGCGCCATCCTTATCTTAATAAAGTATAACAACAACAACAAACATATATATATAATAAGAACTAAAAAACGCGCTGCTACGTTACAGCAGCGCCTTTTTTTTTTCTTTCCAAAAGTCCACATGCTTTTTTTGCCTAAACAGCCTGAGTTCTCAAGCGAAACATGAAAAAGTTTTCACTAGCTTGAAAAAATATTTCCGCTCAGTTATCGTTATCTTTAACGAGCAAGGCTGCTGAGGATATGGCGCGTACTGAATATATGTTTTTATTTAGTTATTGCATTATATGTTTATGTTCAAAATATATATATGTGTAGCACTAACGTAAGTACACAGTTGCCTTCGAAAATCGCGGGTCCCCTTCAGCTTATAAATAGTATTTAATTTTTCTTTGTTCCCCGGCAATGTCGATCAAAAGTATTATACTTTAGAAAGCAGTTTATACCCGTATGTTTTCAATGGTCAAGTGTATGGAGCTTCCTTTAAGGCGAGTATTCATAGACTCCTTCCAAGGATCAGCAAAGCGGAGAAAATTTAGAGGCCTCTCATATTCAAATATTGGCAAGTGATGTGCGAGCCACTCCTCGCTTACTTTGAGTGATAACGATTTGAGAGCCATCCTAGCCAACGTCTACAACGAAAGATGTTGGCGGCCGCAGTATTTGACCCTTCTTAATTTTTTTTCTTCATTTTCTTTTCTTAAATTTGATTGGTTCCCGTATGTGGTTTTTCTCCTTTCTCTTTGTCTTTATGGCAGAGCTCATTCATATATAACGGCATTCCTTTTTCTATGGTGTGTGTGTTTCATTTCTAATTTATCGTCTTTCTCTTTATTTCGCAATACATGAGCTGGGAATCGGCGCTCTGTGTTCTCTTTTCTTCCTCACTGCTTGCGCGCTGTGTTTAATGTGATGTCATCTTACCATCTGGCTTAACTCTCCGCTTTACTGCAGTACATCGTGTTCCCAACTTCTGTGATAGACTTCCAAGATGCATATTTTATTCAAGGGCCATTGATTTCTTATTCCGGAAATTAAAGACGCGAGAAATAACTAATAATGCTTTTATTTCTTTTATTCATACGAACCATTCTTTGTCTCTGCAATGAGGCCCGTTTGAGAGGGCTTCATTTATTCTAAATGGCCTCGTGTTTGACTTGGAGCCTGTTGAAGCCTTCTTATGCAGGGACCTTCATACCTGAAACAATATGCACACATTTGAGCTTATTATTTTACCTATCGCACTAAGATTTCCTTTGAAATAAACATTATTCAATATTTGTTTTAGGTTAGAGGTGATTTCGCTAAGATTTAGATATGTTTGTTGTTTCAGTTTGTAACTCATATACTAAGTTTAAGAATATCACTCACATTGCGCGAATCTGTATCTACTGTCTTTAGAGTTTTTTTTTAATCGGAATTTAAATATGTGGTACTTGGTACATGCAATATATCCCCTCAGAAGAATGAAGCTACCTACAAAAGCTTGTATTTTTCGGTGTGTTAAGTTTTAATATCCTGATTCATTTCTGCCCAACATTAAAATATATCTAAAATTGTCCTGTATATAAAAAATGAAAATGTATATGCAATATTTTGTTTATAAGACCACATTTTCAGCGAATCGCTAAAAGCTTGTCTTAAATTGGAAATTTTTTGCTTTTTTCTTTTTGAATAAAACAAAATACGATTTTATGAGCATGCTGCCTGTCTACCAATAATAAACGTGGATGAAAGTAAACTAGCCTTTGCCTGAAACAAGTATCGTCGAATGTGTGTACTATTAATAAAATAATTGATGTAAATAATGTTATATCACTAAGCCCAAGTAATAGATGTAAAAAATATATGAAGTAAAAGTCCTATGGGAAGCAAGGCATGTCAATCCTTTTAGATGATGATTCTACATCGAAATGCATCCTAACTTTTATATGTACATACATCAAAATCTTAAAAATGCCATCAATATATAACAAAGCATCATTATATTGAAATCCAAACAAATATGATAAAAAAGATGACTCTCGACATGAAAGCAACAAAGTCAATGAACTAAAAATGAGGGTTATAGATATAAACCAATCCAAGTTTATTATCCAACTTGCAAATTAAAAAAAGTCATGTTTATTGATATGTTGGGCGCCACACTGTACAAGCTAGCTCTTGGAGCTTTTTTACGGTGTCATCGGCCTGGTGTTTATGATATAAGGTTCAAGTTCACGTACTTATAATTTTAACCCTTGTACTATACAATTCTTCTTCTTAATAAAGTTTATAAACTTGTGGTTTCCATACTGTTTCATAAAAATACATACACGAATAAAGCATTGAATGTCTGGCGCCACGAGTAACGTCTACACAGTGTGTAAGGTCAGATAGAGTTTCGTCTGTGCTTTGAACCTGATATTAGATTCTAATGCAGGCAACATTACAGCTGATTTAGCCTTGGAAATGGTGAGCTGTTATTCGCAATAACCTTGAACACCTGCAATATTCTTCATTTAAACTATTGACGAACCTTTTTACACAGCTTTAAAGAGAAACTGTATTTGAGAAAAAAAAAGACTTAAATCATCTTCATTTAGCCTCCAGGATCACGAATATCGAGATTATTTTTCGGTTTGGTGCACGGAGGCTGTAGACATTAATTTTCAAAGTGCCGCTGAAGCCCCTCCTCTTGGGGCGTGACGTCATATTAAAACTTTTCGGAGTCTTCGCTCTCGAGCGTCTACTGCACCTATCAAAGGTATGCACTCGCACTTTTTTTTGTTTCCTGGCAAGCTTGGAATTGCACGCGCTGCCCACACGTGCGACACGCCCTTGTAGGCTTAAACGTCCTAGTGTGATGTCACGACTGGTCACAGGTTATTGGTGTCTTGTCGCGTTTAGTTACATTTACGCGGAAAGCGAACGTAACATTCGGATTCACGGAATAAAAATGCGCCAGAATTCACCTCTAGCTAGTTTTTTGGGAAATGTGTTTCAGCGTGAATTTAATAGGTACAGAACGCACTACTAATTGTTTTGTTTTTACTATCTCCATATGGACAAGTCCAACGAGTGACCATCAATGTTAAGTTTTAATGCATATGTGTGGTTTTCGACTTATCTAATGGCGTGACCCGCTGTAATAGCCAAACTAGTCGCTCTGTCTTCGGGAAATTATACGTCTTCATGAACTGAACTTGATGAAATGCGTTATTACCTGTTTGCACTTCCGAGGAGCGGGCCGCACCACAGCCCACATGGTTGCATCCTCTGACCCAGAGACTATATCTGTGTCCAGGCATTAGATGGGTGAACACCGTCATCCCAGTTCGATCATATGGCAGCCAGTCATCATAGAAGCTACTCATCCGACAGTTGTCACTCGGATCCGTACAGTTCAGCCAAGTTGAGTTGTCCAAGGAAGCCTGAATATAAAATAGCAGCTTTAAGAATCCTAGTATGTTGCGATGCTTTGCATAAACACCTAAATTTATTCGCTGCAAAACAAGTTTACAAAGTGCCGTGGCTATTTTGTTTGACAAATATAGCGCGGGAGTGTATCTATATCTTAAAGGCCCGTTCACATATTGAATGAACTGCATAGTCAGCGCCGGCGTGAGCGCTGTTTAGAGCGCTCATGTGGCGCTTCCTTGCGCGTGACTTAGTTGTAATATAGCGCGCGATTAGCGCTTTAGTAGTGCCTTGTCTGAACTTTAGTAACGCGTTGTTAGCGCTTCAGTAGCGTCTTGTTATCGCATCGTGTATTGCAGCTACTGCTGCGGATTAACGCGTGTACAGCGGTTCCGGTTCCTGTGGCGGGGTGTGCATCAACAGCACCATGGCGGACATGCGGGACGCTGAAATAGAAACGCGAAAAATGCGGTTACATACGCCATTAGTGCATACGTGCGTGGACGGCTTAACGCCCAGAAGAGCTTATTGGGCGCGCGAAATATTTCGCCACCGATATACCAGCGGGTACCCGGCGAACCTTCTTCTCAGGCTTAGGGACCGACACAAACCTCTTTCGAAGGGGATTATTTTTAACTGCGTGTCATTCAAACCAGGGTCACGCATGTCGAATAGGAAGCGATGAGGTCGTGCCGAATAAATTTGTCGCTCAAAGTTCATGACACTGAATGGCCTGCCCGACCGTTTACTTGGAGAGCGGCTCTTTTGCTTCATCTTCTTTCATTACCAAAGAAAAAATAAGAACGGAATCACCGTGCACGCGCTGTTCCGCAGCAGGAAACACGGCAGACGGGGTTCGAGAGCGCTTAGACAGCGCTGCTGAAGCGCTAACCGAGCGCTTCGCCACGCGCAAGTTGGTCCCACTTGAGGGCTGCTTCCAGCGCTCATGAGACGCTAACTTAGCGCTCCACTGTGTGTGTGCACCGGCCTTAAGAACGACAGCGCATTTTCTAGCGGAGAAATATGAAAATGGTTCGTTTTTTTTTGTCAGACAAACAGAATACGACAACTAAATCCGTTCTATTCTTTCCCTTCAGCTTGCTTTGCAGGAAGACTGTTAAACAGGTGCAGATCATTAGACCTGCGATATCAAATTGAATATAATTTTTATACCCCTTGCATAAAATGTGTTACAAACTCGGGTCCCATAACTTGTTAATTGTCAAGAACGAAAAAGAAACGGCAAATTTGACTGTCACAATATACGATTTAAATTGACAAGATGGTAAAGAACTGTGTTTCTATTACTTTCAGGACCCTAGCTCTAGACATGTGAGTGTCACGTGTGCTAACCTATTCTTATAGGCGTTTGGAAAGACACGACGTTGTAAGCAGTTCGTTAGCTGAAATTTGTTGAGGGCAAAACTTGAACCCATTCGCTCGGCACAATTTTCTTCTTCAAATTTTATTTTGTCGGTTTCTTAGTTTAAGGCTGGTCATTGAAAACACAAATGTACATAAGAACGCTACTACAAGCTTGAGATATAAAGTTAGTTCACTATGCCATATGTTAAGTGTAGTGATGTGGTAATCTCTCCGAGTTTGTAAACGTTGGACATTGTGAAAAATTGCGCTAAAGAGACAAGGACAAAAGAAGAAGGGACAAAGAAGAGGGAAAGAGAGAAGGTCGTTTATTAAAATAAGAATGAAAATCCGAGGGGGTTAGTTTAGACAAAGAAACACAAATCACAGAGAGGCGGAACTCGCAACTCAGATATAAGAGGTGAAGAAAATAAATATGAAGTAAGACACAAGACAAGGGACACCGGCACCAAAAAAAAAGATATAGTTCAGTCGCAACCAGATGACCGCAAAAAAAAAAAAAAACTGATTTTTTATAACTCAGCGATTGGCCATACAGAAGATGTTAAACGCCTCGAGCACCTCGCGTGTTTGCTTTTCTTCGATCCGCCTAATAATTGAGATTTTTTCCAAGGATTATGAACAAACTCATGTCTTGTAATGCACTGGCCCCCTACCGTTGATGTCAAAGAAAGGTTACGCTCTCGTAGCCGGTCATCAAGACACCGCTCAGTTTGTCAAAAGTAATATCGTCCACAGACAAAATACATATTATACGCAACGCCCGATCGAGAGGGAACAAAATGCCGCGCATGTTCTTGTGGCACTTGTGTTTTGATAGACTGTCTGCTTTTTCACGAACATTAGAACATATCTGACACATTTCTCAGGGGTTGAGCGAACTAGAGGCACACCATACCTACTTGCCACTTACTAACAGCCGTTTTTTGCAAACATTGCGCTTAGTTTGTTCACCCCCTTTTAACTTTTTGTCTTACTAGTGGCTCTATCACCTCTATTAAAACTTGAATCTGGAACTCTGAACTTTTTAGTCTGTCGATTTGGCCCAAGAGAGTACCATAAATGCCATACTTGACGTTTTTAGGGCTGACGTTGGGTAAGAAATAGCTACGCCAATCTTCACTACCATTGGGTGAGTTGACCTGTAGTGAAGAATACCCCTTTTTTTTTGGAACGGGATGAGCATGACCAGGACACGTGATCGGCGTGCAATGAGAGAGACAGGTTTAAGAATTGCAACAAACCTTTCTTAGTCTTCTTAAAAGTAAACGTAAAGCCGAAACTGCACATATGAAAAATTTCTCTAATGCTACTAAGTACATATATATACACATTTTTTCACATTAAAATATAATTGTTTACATATCAGAACACGTTGAAACCTGGCGGGTTCTTAACAGCTACTGCTGTAGCACGGTCGATTCTAACCCCCCAAAAAATATCACTTAGGCCGGGGGCGAGAAAGGGCCCAATGCACAGATCCGATATTTGAAAAGCACCCTGCTTTGCCATCACACTAATGTGGAATCTAAATAAAATTGCGGTAGCTCAAGAAAACTGCCTGTAGTCACCCCACTTGAGTTGCGGTAAGAAACTTCATTTTGGGACTCAATACGGGCCCTGACTGAGGTAAGGAAATGGTCATATGGGGGGAATAAAAAAGGTCTTGCATATATACGTTATATACACTGTGTTCGGAAAATACATACGTTGTTAAGGTTTCAAACACAGTTTCAGAATTTCGAACCAAAAAGAGATCATCAATCCGCAAACCGGAGTGATGTTTTGGGAGTTGTATCGACATCTGCCGTTGTAACGAACCCCTCTCACTGGCAATTGCTCTGAAAGGACAAGCCTCCTTGTGCGGTTTCTCACTGAACACTTCAGCCCTAAAAAGGTCATGACTCCATGTCATTTTTGGTAATTTCTTGGGCCAAATCGATAGACAAATTCTTCAGGGTTCCCGATTCAAGTTTTACTGGAGGTAGTAGGACCACTGTAAGAAAACTAACAAGGGATAAGCACACTAAGCACAATGTTGACAAAAAACGGGCGGTGGTTTTTCCATATGTACACAGAGTATCGCATTATCTAACACAAGTGGCAAATAGGTATGGTGTGCCCCTAGTACTCTCAGTACCTAAAATAATGTGTCAAATGTTTTTAAGGTTTGCGAAAATCTATAAAAACACAGATGTCACAAAATCATGCTCGCCTTTTTGTTACGTGTTCATCGAGCACTGTATATAGGGTTCCTCTCCCCAGTGGGCGAGGCATTTTTGGACAAACTGGGCGGTGTCCGAATGACCGGCTGTGAGAGCATAGCCTTTCTTTAACTTCAACGTTAGGGGGTCACCTCTTGGTACAATGTAAAAGCAGTTCTTGTTCATCATCTTTAAAAACAATGATTGGGCGGCTAGAAAAAAACGAACAAAACAAACACGTGAGGTGCTCGTGGGGTTTGCCATGTAGGATTTGGCAGATCGCTGCGTTAGTCAGACGTCAGTGACTTTGAGTGAAAAAGAAGTGCATTTTTTGCGGTCATTTGGTTGCGACGGGACTTTATTTCCCCTTGTCGGTGTACCTAGAGCCACTAAACGAGCTCCGCGTAGCTTATATAGTGGCACTAGATCTCCCTTGTCATAAGTGTTGCTTCATATTTCATTTCTTAACCTATTATATAAGATTTTTGAGTACCCGCCTGCCTGTGTTTTGATGTACCTTCTCTTCAGTCCTTGTTTCTTTGTGCGCGAAATTTATCAATGCTTCATATATTAAATTGCATGCAGATCCATTTGGTATCAATAATCGGGCATTGTAAAATGAATTCTCGTGCAGTTCTAGATTCGTGCAGAGATTATAAGCATGCATTAGGTTGAAGTGGTCAAGGTATAGATGAAGGATTTTCTTGGAAAGAGCTGAACCTCACTTTTGTTTAAACAAATGTTTTAGCATAGATACACCCGCTGCTGCTTTGCCTAAAAGTGTCTCGAAAGCCGAATACAACTGTGCATTATCGCTTAAATGTAGATTGTCTCAGAAGCTTTTATTTTGAGTTGGACGAGTTTACTTACCTGAATTTCAACAATTTCGGTGTCTCTGAAGGTCCACGTGACGGCCGCAGTCGTCGAGTTCCCACCAACCAGGGTTATTACACTCGGTGCATCTGGAACTAACACTTTCTTCGTTTACACGGTTCGTCTAAACAGTTTAAAAGTTTCAGATGTACAAATGCACTGTTGTACATGTCGTAACCATCAATAATGTTTAAATTATGTCAGAATTGTTGAAACTGTCCAAGTGCATTCGCATTTACGACTGAAATGTTTTGATAAAAAGATAGAAATCAACAAGAAGCGTTTAGTGGTAAAAATATAAAAAAAAGAAATAACAGAAAAAAGAGCAGACTACGCAGCAATAAACGCAAATACAATTTACACTAAGAGTCAACCATAGAAAACGGTGTGATAAACCAAACAGCAGTAAGGTTTTAAAATGCTCAAAGAAGACTTGGGAGGTGTATTTGATGCCGAAAACTCTTTTTTTTTGGGCTTAACTCTCCTTCTCTAAACTTCTCCTTGAATTCACCTTAAAAAGGAGGCGCGTCTAAGGTTTCTAGATTGCGATTTCTTTAGAATGTTTGCATTCAACACGAACACTGTTGTAAAATTATATAGGCTTTTTTTTTGTCTGGAAACAATTTACATTTTCTTCCCAATTTTTGCAACGTTCCAAAAATATTATAAACACCAGAATATAAAAAAATGCCCTTACGTCATGCTACGGTGTTCTTAAAAAATAATTGCCGCTTGATAACGTAATTGTTGAATACTTGCCGTTGTATTGTCGGCAAAAATAGTTAGTGTATACGCGTGCCTAATGTTACAAGCAGCTCAAGTTCTAATCATTTTAATTGATTTCATTAAAGTTCCGTTTTTTAATGTGAATCGACATTCTCAATGAAATGATTGCCATGTGCACTGTTTTGCCATTATTTGCTTTTCGGTGACGCACTTCGAAAATATCAGAATAATGTAGAGAAGTAAACAACCTCATACATGTTAATGGCTGGCATAATTTGAGTTTTTGTCTCGTTTTTGAATAACACTGTACTAGTCTAACCTGTTTTCTATATATATAAATTTGTTGTTCTTTTTCTCTTCGTTGTGGTGTCCTGGTTATTTTAGCATATTAGACATTACCTTTTTTGCCGGTCGCATATGACAAGAAAATAAGCAGAATACAACATTATATACAAAATTCGTGCATCACAGTTATACGTAAGTATAAATTGATTGCACAAATGATGTCCCTCCAAAAACCATGCGAAGCTCTACCTTCGACCTAAACGGTAATGAATTCTGCTACTGCGAAAAACTTTAATTATACTATTAATTTAGTTTTATATTTTTACAATATTTATGAGCTTTAGGCGGATATGGTGAAATTTGCGTTTGTATGTTGACTACGTGACTTCATTATTTTATCGCTCCTATTGGCAAGTGATCATCTTCAATACCGGGGAAAATATTTTTGCGGCACTTCCATTTTAAAGATGATAGCTGGTGAACAAAAGTACTAGCTGTAGTCATCGATGAGACTGGGCGAACGCATACGTCTCTATATTTCTGACACCACAGCCGTAGAAAGTTGTTGAAAATATAGCAGTGCGCACACTGCTGGAAAAAAAACAAAAAAACTAATGAACCAAGCACGTTGTCACACGTTCGTCGCTTTCGCAATATGTAAAGTACCTAAATGTTTTTGTGGCAAGCACAAGGTCGCCTAATAAGCATTTCACATATGTTTTAAACAGTTCATTTTCTAAACTGGTGATAATGTCAATAAAAAACATCTTTAGATTAATTAAAAAAAATTATAGAAAGAAATGAATTCTCTTTATTAATCAGTTTGTAGTCACGATTCTTTTTTTTTTCTTTTTTCTTTCACACCGCAAATGTAATCTGCGGATTGCCGAATGCTCAGTCCCCACACTTATATAGCTCTATGCGGTCCGGTAAAGATGCCATAGTTGCAGAAGTTGTCATTATCGGGTTTAAAGGTCATAAGCGATTCTGAGACGTTTTTAAAAGGAGAACGATGGCCAACGAATCGCCGGATACTCGGAGATTAATGGCGGCTGCTGCAACGAATCTGAGCCATTTTTTTTTACTGAAACTAAGAAAATTGAATATAGATTTTGAATGAGGTTACGGTCATTTCTGGAACTTTCGCCTCTAGTGGGGACGGCTAGCGATACATGTGGTCGGCAACTAAGCGTCCGTTTGCGCACTGTTTATTTCTACGGTGCAAAAGCACCGTAATTTCGTCTCAGCGACAGTTTGTATATTGCTAGAACATATCGCCTTTTTATGTATATACGAACCACAAACGTCGTTTCATAAATTCCCCTCTAGGACTATTTTAGAAAGCGTAAATCCAGCAAGCTAAAATAAATGTTTGTTTTAGTGCGACGCAACCAACTTGGATTAAGCAAAATACTGTTCGTTGTGAATTGCTTTAGGTGCAATTTCGTGACTTTACTACGTAATTTCAAGCTGCTTTCATAAGTTTTAACTAAGGATATAACCTTGTTGTTCGAGCATATTTTGAACGAGCTGAAATATTTGTATGCGAAGCAACTTAAGTAGAAACTGTGAACTTCCATATGTATAAAACAGTTTAAGGGAATCCAATATTGTTGCCCACGCTAAACCATGGCAGTGGGGTTTATTGCTTATTAATTATTAAGCCCCCGAAATCGGAAGAGATTCCTACTTAAACTTACCAGAAGCCACAGGTTCGACCGTGGGTCTCAATAATTTTATTTCTCCATTTGAGTCTCCTGAGAAAACAAAATGTAAAAAGAAGAAATCTGAGGTTCGAAGTCTTACATGATACGTAGCACCAAACCGCCATAAAAGGGCTTATAAACGAAGTTAAAGGAGTAATTTCAAATAAGCATGCGGCAGTCGATCCATAAGGTGCGCCTTACGCACTTTTGTTCTGAACTAAAAAGTATCTGTTAGAAGACCGGTATATGCGATATTTATTTAAAAAAAAATGTCGGCATAATTTTGATAAGCGTTACAGTTTAACGATGGTCAAAAGATTAATTTAGTTTCAAGAATAAGGTCTCGCGACATAAATCGTACTCCAATATTGCAAGTTATAAACGCCACAATACTTTTTATAATATTTATAGTATATTTTTTAAAATTTCAAACGTAATAATTTTCCAAACGTTTGAGGGTCTGGTATACTACGTAAAAGTATGCCTAGTATTTATAAAAATACGTGTCACAGCGTGATAATCAATTGACTCTTCCTTTTCTTTTTGTATCACTCCATTCGTTATTTGTAGTTACGTATCGGTAGCCTTTGCCCTCCGCAGAGTCACGTGTGTTGGAAATTTCCCCTCGTTAGATTCTTTTCTTTAACCATTTTTATTTTTAATGAGTAAACAATAATTTGTTTCGTAAATTTTATCATTGAGGATTGCACATTCCAGTAAACGAGCTGAGACTTTGGTCAAATGATCTAGCGAAATGAAGTAAAAGCCGTGTTCAAAATGGCAGTCACTGAACTACTACTGCCCAGTTCTTTACATATATAAACTTTCTAGTGTCATAGTTTTACTTCTGTTGCAAACATCCTTACTTTGACACCACAATTTACTTGCATTGGCCTTGTGCAACCCAGTATAAATGCGGGAACCAATCTTGGGGCTGGGTGCAATATTTGTTATAACATTATTTTTTACTTAGACCTGACAAGCGACTGGTTACAGTTGTTTTTATACATTAAAAAAAGAACTTGTTATGGCCATTGAAAAATAAATGTGCTTCTCCTTTCCTGATACTTTTCTGTTAAATCAGCGGAAGCTTCTTTTCGGCAGATAATATCGACCAAGTCACTAATATAAAATCTATACTGCTATTTAGCACTTCCTAGAAATTATATGAAATAGGAATTGAATTAAAGGGATGGTGAACAGAAATTCGGATTTCAGAAAAATAATGCAGGAAATGTGGGCGGGACGCTGCAATCCGTACAACACTATTCGTAAGGCGATATCTCGAATGGACGGCCGTATTTTCGGAAAACGAGGCCGAGATTGAACCAGGACGACGAAGCGCGTGACGTAGAGATATCTCGTTTCCTCCTCTCTTCGCTTCGCTTCCTCAAGGCTGCGACGCGGAAAAGACGCAAGGCCGTTCCCTCTCCTTCTCGGAGAAACATGATGTGAACATTTCTGTCAAATGCACCTCCTTTTTTTCTTTTTTTGAGAAATAGGGTCATCCGTTTGAGATATCGCTGCAGGAGTGATGTTTTGTTGTTTCTAGCATCTCGTTGCACGGTTTTGCCGCGTCTTTTGTGGAATCCAGAGTTTGGTTCAGCATCCCTTTAATCTATGCTTAGAAACAAAAACATGGCTATTAAACATTAACATTTAGGTTTTAAGAAATTGGAAGTCATTTCATCATTCCGGCATAGCTGTCGTGACAACGCTTTCGGATGTTTTGTTATATTAAGAAACCAGTATTGCTGGAGTCACGGAATAGAAAAATAATTGTTTTTGTGCTTTAGGGTTTAATTTATGTTATTTGCCTTTTACTGAACGCGGAGCTACGTAATTATGCCCTTACTGTGGGGTTGAGTGATGACCCAGGTCTCTGTTGGAATTCCACAGCTTACTTTCATGAGACAGCCCAGTATTGCAATAGTGTAGTTCTTCGATGCCCTCAGTTCCGAGAGCAACGCCATTTTTTCGGATCTATCGAAATGGTCTTCTCCAAGGACCACAGAAACCGACGGTACCGCCTCTTGACCGGGAGAGAAGCACGACACCTGCGAGATGGGAGGTTTTAGGCGACAGCTTATATGTATATCAGTACCGGTACCCGAGGCCTACGTTTTATATTTGTTTCGTCTTGTAAAATGCAGACAACCCCAATAACGAATTGTTCGACAAGTAACAAGCCGTGCTCTGTGGCGGCTGCCTTACCTTGAAAAACGCGTTGTGCCACATTGCTCTGCAGCTGACCAGTGCCTTGGTAGGACTCAGCGGAACGACTCTCACATTCGTTATTCCTAGAAAAAAAAATACATGAGTATTTTTTCTCGTTATGTCAAATAGCTGGTCATAGTTTACGCGCATATTTAATTTAAGATATTATTTATAAAAAGTGTGTGTAAGTTACCACCAGTATAAGCTCGTAAGTTATCTTACCGGGCTAATACACGAGCTGCTTGGTTCTATTTAGTAATAACAATTGAGCTCTAATCAACTTTGCTGTATACTTTTTATAACCAGGAAAAAACGATTGCATGGCTACACGTTTGAAACACTTCCAAAAAAAAAGCACGTAATAAACCCAATACAATATCTCTGTTTCTCTCCATGGGCTCGCATGCAAGCTCCTCTGCCCGTTTGTTTAAAGAGTTTTAAAATTAAATTGCGGTATAACAAATTATAAAAAACACGCCTCGGTGAACGGCTTCGCAAAGAAAATGAAAGCCGTTTACAACTCCCTGTAACGCCGAATTGGAGCGCAGCTCTTGAGGAGGAGGAGGGAAGGGTACTGAGGGGAGAGTATATTCCTGCTCCCTCCTCCTCCCTTGTGATCCTGCGTGCTACTCCTGAACAAAAGGGCTCCGGTTCGAAGCCGGCCGAGGGACAGAAGATGTCTTTTAAAATCATTTTTCGGAGTAATGAAAATTCGGATTCGTCCCCCCTGCTTATCCTCCCTGCTCCCCTCATTTCTCCTCATCCCCCTCGTGGAGGTCACGTGATCTCGGGGGGGGGGGGGGGGAGGGGAGGGAATCACGGGACCCCCGGACCTGGGGGTGTCACGTGAGCTGGAGGTATCGCGTGTCCTGGGGAAGGGGGGGGTCACGTGACCCCCACCAGGTCATACATTAAATATATATTTAATATATATTAAAGTATTTGAAAATCTTTTGGCCTTCCCTTCCTGTACCATTGACGATGAAGCCGCCGAAGTTTGTTTCCGTATCTTCAGCGTGACGACAAGGTTGAGTGAATGTGTCTTCTATTTCTACTCGAAAACTATCAGATAAATATTGTCCAAAATGGAAAGCTGATCACTTTCAGTGCCATTTATTGGAAAGTTTGGCTCCAACTTATATCCACTTGCTTACCTAAAGACTCCGTTGGATCAGAGCCCAGTGGATCCATCACTGTCGCCGTTACTGTAGTGATCCATCCTGGAAAAAATGGGCACAGTTGTTTCATTTTAACTGAGAAGAAGCCTATTTTTCCAATCTGATATGAACTGTAGAGTTTACTATATATCATAATAGAAGTCATCGCAAAACTATAGCTCGAAGGACTGAAATACCCCAGCCTACTTAATAATATGTTAATATACGCAGCAATTGCTTCGCGACCTACGGTCACGCATGGAAGTCGTGACGCAAAATAACAATAATTAGAGAGCACTCAAATTAATATCGCTTTGGTTGTATATACCTATACCACAACTTCATTCTCTTCTGGACAGGGTATTGGAATAACTTCTCACGGACCTCCACATAACTACGAATACCACTTATCTTGTTGCAACTCACTTTGAATACCACTTATCTTGTTACAACACACAAAGAAACAAATTATGTATTTACCAATTAAGACGATACAGTTGAGGATATTCATTCGGGGCATGACCATCTTGAATAACAAGGAAGAAGCAGAACTCCGAGCTGGCCAATATAATAACCTGTAAAATAAATCGTATTATCAATTTAAAACTCTGGGTGGTATTTTTCTAGTAAAGGTTTAGTTTTAGCACTGCGTAGTTTACAATTCAACTCAATACAACTCTTGCATTACTTCACATGTGTATAATTATCTCGATAAAAAAAAGGACAGCCTTACCGCACGTCAGCGTCCCGAAAGCAGAAATGGGGGGGGGGGGGGGGGGGGGGGATTACTTTGCGATCTGAGCGCCTGTTCCTATGTATTCCTTATATACAATGTATCGCCATCACTTTTTTTTTTACTGTATTACTTGCCTTCGTGAAATCGGCTGATACAGGTTTCCGATTAGTGTTTTCGATTATTCTTTTTTCAGTGTTTCAGTGTTTTCGATTATTCTTTTTTCAACAAAAAAGCCAAAAATGTATTTATGCTTAAAAGCACTTACTAAAAGGTGGTTTCCTTTGTTCAACCAAAATTGTCGGGGAGTGGAAAAAAAACACGAAAATCTCCCGATTACAAAAAATATATATAGCTTAAATCCTATAACTGACGAAACTCTGATTTAAAAAGTAAGGGCGCCAAATGTTTCTAGAAAATATTTATGAAACACCATTCGGTAGAATGCATAAAAATGAGGCTTTATTTGTTTTGAGACTTTTGCCGTTGCGTACAGAATGTTTAGCTCTTTCACACTACTTTTATATACTTATAAACACAATTGCAAACTTTATTTAGAACATCTTTTTTTTATATTTTATGTATATATTTTTACAATATCACGATCCGGCTACACCAAACGCGTTTGCATAAAATGAAAATTGTAGAAACTTAACGCGGAAGATCTATGATATAAAACGACCATCAGCGTCTAAATTTAATTAAAATCATCAGGAAATATCAAGTTCATTTAGGTGAGTTTTAAGAAACTGTCGATATATTGTAGCAAACTTGCTAAAACATACGATTTTTGCTTTCGAATAGTTTTTTTTGAAAAGTGATTTGTTTTACATTAATTTAACTTCTAGTTAAAAGGCCTCTATTTCGTTTTATATTTGCTCAGAACCTAACATGAGAAATTGGAAGTTCATTAAAAAAATCAATTGATATTTGTTTATAAAATATTGGTGGATTGCTTGTCAAATACAAAATGGCCGGACATAAACATTGTTTGATCTAGTTTTTGTTTAATTTTCGGGACGACCAGTTAATAAGCCACCTTTTGACTTGACTCGCAATCTCCGGCTCGGGAATTTTGACTTTTCGCAACGTTCTTGTTAGATTCAAAGATAAAAGTTTACTCAAGAAAGAACTAATTTAAGATATTGTATTTACCTATATATACATTTCGCACAATGTCAGGTGTAACCGGAACAGAACATTCATAGCAAAAATTGAAGCATCTTGTTTCCATAGGACATGTGTAATGACAGGCCCTGACGAGACGTTCATGCTTCATACTTTTCATTTCATGTTTCATTTATAATAATAATCGCCGAAATATTACATCGCGACAGAAGAGGCAATTTCTTTTTTCCGTTGAAATCTATAATGGCCTTGTTTATATTGTTTGTTTCTCAAACATACAAAAATGACGAGTAAAATACTTACCACACGGAGAAACAATTTCGCAAAACAACATCCTACATGAAAATGAGGTCTCCAACCAAAGAGAGCCCAGTGACTGTGTGTTTCCGACTACGCTCCTCTGACTAATGCGCGTGATTAAAAGCTGGCCTACCAGCACAAAATTCGTATCTATTGGCTTAAATATACGGCTATTTGTTTCTCGTTAAAGTGTTTTAATAAAATAAGTGCCCAATTTATACATTCTGAAAAAAAAATATATTGTTTATAATTTAATATCGCAGTTAACCGTCCATAGCCCCCTATATACTGACAAAACCTGGGAGGTCGCCACGAGAAGCGGCCCCCGACATTGAAAAGGTAGAGCGGCAGACAGCGCATGAGAGGAAAGCCACGTGACTGGCACCCCGCTGCGGCGAGACGCCGAAACACACTTTTTCTGAGCAGAAAAGTGTGTTTCAGGGCCTCGCCATTGCAATAGCTGTGCGCTGACGTCCAGGTTCCCCGAGAAATGGCTCTTTGGTGCTCTGTGCTACAAGATCCTTGAACTCCAAATCTGCGACCGGGCACTCTATGGCTCCGTCGTCAAACTGCCAGGCTTTGTGAGTATAAAGGAGGCTATGAGTCAACGCTACTTGCGCGAGTGAGCGATATCTCCGCTTCGCAACCTTTTTTCGCAGAACGTGCCTTCGCGCTAGAAATGAACCTCTTAAAGCAGGGTGCTCGGGATAGCTCCCGATTGTAGTTTTGGCTGCTGCCTTAAAGGCGAAGGTAGAAAAATTCAGCGAGTCTAGGTGAAGGCAGTATAGATCCTTCCATAGAGGGGCTCTTGGCTTGTTCCCTTTTCTGTGTTCGTGCGCATGGCGCGTGAGGTGGTTGCTTTCCTCAGCGGCGACCATGGGCGTACTTGGCTGAGGAGATCGCACGCTGGGCTGAGGTCTCGTAAACATTGGAATGGTGAATTGTATGGGGATTTGTTTCCGATGGTAGAGATTCCGTGGCTGCCATGAAGAGAAGATCGAACAGTCTCGCCTGATAATAAAAATCTAAAAGAGAAAAGTACAAGGAAAAGAGGTAGAACAAGACAGGATAAGCGCTTACTCTCAACTGACGTTTCATAATATTAGCAGTGAAATACAGGGAAGAAGGTATTGATATGGCAATTTAAAAAAAAAACAGGTTATTTTAATTATCCCAGTAGGCGCTTGCCATGTCTTTTCTTACTTCTTTTCCTTGTCCTTTGCTCTTTTCGACCTTTCTTATCTGTAGCCATCAAGCCCAACAATTCATTTTATCACAGTCACTCCTCTTGCTGCACGCTTCACCTATGGGGACAAAACAATATTGCTGGTTTGTTTTTGATCAGAGAATTTAACGATATCGATTCGAAGGCCGCTCCTCGTGTGACCAAAGCACTGGTCAGAGCTAAGCGCTCGTTTGTACAATGTGCTAGGTAATGTTAAATTTCTTTGTTTTGCTGTGTAAGAAAACACCGGGCTGCGGAGACAACGAGCTCGAAAAATCGCCGTCTTTAAGCGCGAAACACATGTACGACGAAATCGTCCGATCCGACGTGCGGACTGCCGGAATGACCTTGAGGGGAGAGGGTCTTCGTAGCATCGGAGAGCGTTGAAAACCCTCGCCTCCGACCGTCGTATTGCGCGGTCGGACGTCGGATCGGACGGTTTTGTCGTACGTGTGTTTCGCGCTTTAGTTCGATCTCCTGCGCAATACTTCGTTAACCCTTAAGCGGAGACTAAAACTCCGCCTTCATTGCGAAATTTCTGCCCTTGATAATACAAGTGTGAACGCGCAGGCAAGTGCAACCAAAAAACTGCGGAAACCAGTGAGCTCGCGTTGAAGGTGGACCTTGTACACTCAAGCTTAAGCATTGGGCAGAGTATATATTGGGGTACTCGTTTGGCACATACCTGAGCCTTGACTAACATTTTTTTAACGAACCCGAAGACTAAGTACATTTACGAAAACTTAACAAACAGAAGTTTATTCTTATCGTTAAAATTAAATGTGTTCTCTAGAGATTTTACAGATTGAAAAGAAAAAAAAAAAAACGTTTGCAGATATTTTGAAACAGAATACAAGCTTTTACACAAATAGCAGGAACAGAAAAAGAAAAAAAAATTGACGTATATTTTTAAAAAAAAAAGAAAACAACAAAATCGAACACATTGGCAATAAATTTTGCAAGCTTTACCGATGCTTTTACACAGATATTTGTAGTGTGTACGAGTATTGTGCAAGAAAACTTTTCTAAATTACCTCTTTCTATTCACATTTAATGGTTTTGCTGTCTGACATTCTAGTCAAAGGAGTCTAGTTGAAAGTGAAAAACTAATGGTTAAAAATATTAACACAACTGCATCAAATGTGGACTTCTTTTTTTCTTTCTTGTGTGCAATTTAGTATTTTTCTTGTTTCACTGCACGACATTTCGCAACCCGAAGCTACGGGTCAATGGGATCACCAAGCCGAGACAAAATGGCAATGTTGCGACATTCCTCGTGTTTCCATGCCTATACTATCACCGGATAAACTAGCTAAGAGAAATTGTTTTTTTTTTTTTTGCAAACGTTTTTAATAATCAAGTTACATGTCCTGAGTGTAGTTACACCCGTTGTACGTGCCGACGTCTGTAGCAGTAAATGTTTCAAAATGAAAGGGAAAAACGCTGCTACAAGTGGCGCTTTGCAGCGGCGTTTGTGAACTTATATTTTTGGGGTTTTAAATGCGATTGCATCTAAGAACCCAGATTTAGACATATGAGGCGACTGCTTGCAGCATATGACGCAATCTTTCCAGCATTCTTTTTGGTGCTTGGGTATTTTGGCAAACGGTATATTACTGGGTCATAAGATAACAACATTAATATGTTCGTTGTGTTTGTGTGTCATCTATTATTACACAGCACTCTGTCTTAATGGGATACAAAACATGGCATCTGCAACCCTAAACGCCTGAGCATTGTCCGCCTTTTTTTTCTTTTTAATAGTCCACGAAATTAAGATGTCACACATAATCCCAATGGCATGTTAGTAAATACCGGCATAAGCCATTGTCAGATCAAAAGAAAATTTAAATGATGCAGAACTGGCAATAACAGCCATGTCTCTTGCAAAATGTCGTGCCACCTGAGTGAACAACAATTTAACGGTATCACTAAAACGTAGATGAAAATGCAAAACAAGTGTCCTTGATATGGAAGCACTCAGAAGTTCATTAAGTCGCTACATAAAACATCAGAATCGCAGTAGCATTATCTTGTATGAAGGTAATGAAATATAATCTAAAGGAAAAAGAAAGAAAACTATAGATATTAGACGAAAATAAACCCTGGAGAAGGGGAACAAGAGGGACAAAGGACAAACACAAATCTCCAAACACAGCTAGGTGACTGGTGCGCGACCGAAAAAATCCGCCTGGTCCGGGTATCGAACC